AAAAATGTTAAAAAAATTTAAAAAAAAAAAAAAAAAAAAAAAAAAAAAAAAAAAAAAAAAAAGGTGGGCTTAAGGGCTCTCACAATGTGGAAGCTTCTCTCTGCTAAACGTCCAACTTATTTGTATTTTACAAAGTGGGGATGAGGACGAAGGTGCCCAGGATAAAAGAGGGACCGCCCTCAGGGTGGGTAGGGCCCTAGATTAGGAGTTAGACACGGAGGCGGAGCTCAGTGACATCACTGAGACCACTTGCCCCATCCAATAGATGGAAATAACTCTGCCCATGTGTCTCAGGGCAGGTCACCTACTACTCTTACACCTTGGGTTCCCTGTCTGTCCAGTGAGCATCACGGAAGTCCTCTCCCTGCTATGGACTTCACAGAGCTGTTGTGAGGAGCAGATCAGGTCACAAACAAGAAGACACTTGGAAGAGAATAAAATATATAGGTGGGGGGATTATGGAAGGGCCTGAGTGGGGGCAATCAAGGAACCTGGCTTCTTCCTCTAGCTCTGCTGCTATATTTTTAGGATATTGGTTTGACTCGTGTAATAAAGAGGCCCCAAATGATAGTGCCTTTAATAAAACAGAATTCATTTCTCTTTCATGTAAAAGCATACACAGCAGTTAAGGCTGATATGGTGGCTTCACAAGTTGTAGGAGACCTCAGTTCTTTCTATCTTGTTGCTCTGCCATCCTCCACCTGGTGGCCCAAGATGGCTGCTCCACCTCCAGCCCTTATGAGTATATTCCAGTCAGTAGAAGGAGAAGCAGGGGGAGGGGCAGGAATCCTCCTCCCTCCTTTTAAAGGCACAGCCCAGAAATTGCACACATCACATCACATCCCACTGACCAGGATTTAATCATCTGACCACACTTCCCTGCCAGGGAGTCTAGGGATAGTCTTTTGCCATGTGTGAATGGGAGAAGGGATATTGAGGAACAACCTGCAAATTTTGCCACAGCTGCTGACTTGTTTGGGCAACTCACATCACCAACTGAGCCATGGTTTCTTCATTTGCAAATTTATTCATTCATCCATTCATTCATATATTCATTCATTCATATATATATTCCAGGTTTGTGATATAAAGTACGATTTTTGAACCACTTGATTGCTAATGAATTCTCCTACTAGCTGGACCATAAGCCCTGTGAGGTCAGGTGTGAGGTCTTTTTACTCACCGCCATACCTCTGGCATCCAGGGCAGAGTCTCGTCTGGCACATGGAAGCCGTATTACCAGCTGCCCATGGATGATGCATGGATGGCCATTCTGGCTTTGATAATTGGTGAGGACATTTTTCCTCACTGAGGAGTTTAAGTTCTTTCCTTTCCTAGGCCTCCTGGCTCCACCTCCCCTTCTCCCCATGTGCCAAGGCTTTCCAAGCCTATGAAATAAAATGTTCTCTGAGCCAGAATCATGAAAGTGGGATTAAAAATAAATGAAAGTGTGTCAAAACAAGTTAACCACAAGAAATGTCTTCCCAGGATAATTCAGTGTTGGCACTGGAGGCCAAGGACAGAGCAACAGACTCTAATAGCCAAGCACTCCTATCAACACCACTCCTGTGTCGGGCAGAGAACCTGCTGGGCTGCCCAGGATGGCAGCAGATGGCCTAGCCTGAGCCCCCGCTTGACCCTCCACCCCTGTAAGACAATAGGCAAGACCCTCCCACACAGGTCAGGGAGAACAGGTTCTAATTCCAACCCTGTTGCTTACCTGCTGGGGTGATCCTAGGAACATCTATGCCTCTTTGAGCCTCAGTTTCCTCATCTGTAAAAAAGGGTTAATAATAGGCTCTTAATCAACTATAAAATGCAGATAACAACGGTACCTACCTCGTAGGCAGAGGTTCCCAAATGTTCTCAGTTCATGGCAGCCTTATCATCTCTATAATTTTTTCCCAGTGCACCAGGCCCAAAGAAATGTCTAACAGTTGTTTGTTAACTTAGGTTCAAACAACTTAATAGTAGTTTGTACAGTATCCAACAGATATTATTGTATTTCCCTCAAATTTTAAAAATATTTTGCAGTGCCCCTGTGAGTTTTCTGAAGTGCCTCTGGGTGCCTTGGCACTCAGTTTGGGAACTGCAGTCACAAGGTTTTGAGGATGAGATGAGGCTGTGTTGTCAAGGGCTTATCACAATGCCTGGTCTGGAGTCAGAGAGCAGTAAATGTTAATTGTCCTAAATCATCCTCCAGTCTCTCTAGTCCTTTCTGTGTCTCCTGCCGCTGCCACCCAGCAACTCTTCCTGACTCCAGCTCCTGCCATCTCATGGTTTCTGCTTGCTGCCTTCCATCTGGAGCCCTCAGGCCCCGTGGCCCTGCTTCTGAACTAACTTCCTTCTCGTATAGAATCGCCAGCCCCGCTTCTTCATTCCTCCCTAACTCCACACGTGGCACAATCTCTTCATAGGTGGAGTATACATTCTGGCCTCTTAATTTGGGGCTTGGCTGTGTGACTCACTTTGCTTACATGGCAAAAGTGACAGCTTGATTGTTCTGAGCCTAAGTCTCAAGAGACCTCACATGGTTCCACTTGCTCTCTATCCTCTTCCATTGCCAAGAGAAGAACTTGCCCCAGTAGCCCAGTGATTCTAGGAGGAGGACAAGAGACCCATGGCGAAGGCTCAAATCTGCAGACCTGAAGACCGATGCAGACCACCTTAGCCAAACCACAAACTCAAGAGCAAAAATAAACAGTTGTTGTTTGAAGGTATGGAGTTTTGGAGAGTTTCATTACACAGTAGTCTTGTGACAATCCAACCCCTCTAACTGTGGCAAATTCAAATTCTCTGAGAGAAGGTCTGATTGGATCATTTGCTCACCACCCAGAACATAGCTGCTTTCACACCATCACCCACGAGCCAAGGGTCTCCCGACTGTCCAGTCTGCAGGTGGCTGCCTTGGGTTGGGACACCCATTTCTGATCCAAGCAGTTGTCCCATAATTACATGGTCAAGTGACACAAAGCCTGGTGACCTGCCTGGAAGCAATCATTTCTGGCCCTTGTGTTCAGAAGGGGTGTGAGTGTGGTAAGCAGGAGATTCTTGGATCCTCTTTGGTTCTAAAGAGTAACAGCTAAACTAGGAGAAATTGCACATAAAATTTTCTCTGCATGTGGCAGTCAGGATGCAACTTAAGCTGTAAAATCCAGGGTATAAGAAATGTGATGTTTCTTACAACTCATTTTTGTAACTATTTTGAGCCTCATTATGCTTAAGATGGAAAGGATGAGGCTCAAGCTCACATAGAAAATTTGGTACAACAGGGTTAGAACCCAGTTGTCCTGGCTTCCTATACAGTGTCCTGGCCCCCTTCCCTGCACAGTCAGTCTCACACTTGGAAGGATGCTGCAGGTCCCATCTCTGAGCCAGTGGAGCCCCTTCTCCAGCCTCCCTGATCGTCTGGGCTGTGCTTCCCCACTCCACTGGCTGAGTGCCCACTGCTTGGAAGAATTCTAAGCAACACTTTCCTCCTACTGAGTCGTAATCTGCCTCCCTATGTCCTGTATCACCTGCCCTAACTCTGTCTTCTGGCACTACACTTAAATGTACACTCTTTTTTCTTTAATTTATAAACATTTACTATAATTTTTACTTCTATAAATTCTATTTAGTTATTTTTCATATCTGCCTTTTTAAATAGTGTCTTTTTTCTTATGTTTTTGAATTCTTTTGTATGACTTTCTTTTCAAAATACTTTTTTTTTTTTTAATCTCATCTGAAGTTCTTAGGGGAAGTGGGGTCTAATACTGCTGTTGCTGGTGTCTGCTGACTCTCACTTATAGTGGATGGTTTCCTTGTGTGGTTTGTAATTTGGGGCTAAGAGTTCACCTTCAGTGGAGCTTTATCTTTGGACAGCTTGTGTAGCCCAGTTGAGGGCAAGTACCTCCAAAACAGGTTACGTTTGCTTTGCTGGTCACCTCAGCTCCTTACCTGGGATCACTATGTTAATTCTTAGTTTGGGGTTCCTAGTTCAAGTGGATAGAATACATTTTTTTAAAGCCTGCATGAGAATAGATCCTATTTATTGGCGTCATAATATTAACTTGATTATAGTTTGTTTCCACCCACTAGGATGTCAGCTCCAGCCTTTTTCTCTCTGATGGCTCTACTCCTCTATCTGCCTACAGCAGAATTTTAAACACAGTAGGCACTCAGAAAGTATTTGTTGAAAGAGAGAATTAAAGGATGCCCACTTCACAGTATGTTGTGAAGAATAAATGGGGTGTCAGTTAGAACTGTGTTTGCCCAATTAAAAATTGGGTTTCTTGTCTCATATAACAGGCAGATGATGTTGGGGATTCTGTGACTGAGTGATTTCAATGACTCTGCAATTTTCTTGGCCTTTGTCTTAGGGTTGCAAGATGGTTACTGTAGCTCCAGGCATCACATCCACATTCAAGGCAGAAGGAAGAAGAAAAAAGTAAGAGTAAAGGGGGAGCATCACTGACATTTTTCCTTATCACGTAGGTAACATTTTCCTAGAAGTCTAACAGCAAATTTCTGCTTTGGTCTCATTTGCTAGAGATGGGGCGCATGGGCATCCAGAAGAAAGGGGACTTGGAAAGTGAACATTTCCCTTATCTATAGACTCTATAGATAGGTGAGGGAGGGAGGGAGAGGACTGGGGACACAGATGTGCCATCTGCCCCAAATGAGGTTTTATATATCTGTATATATATATAACAAAGCATTTAGAGCAAAACAAGCCCTCAGAAAGGGGACACCTATTTTCATAATAATTATTAATTTTATCATTTAAAGCTTTATAGTCTCTGTGATCCTGTTGGCATCAGATTTGGATTCTGGAGCCCACAGGCACTGAGGCCCCCATACCCCAGTGATCTCCCTCCCCCCGCCCCTTGTTCTATTCAGAGCACTGAAGCCCTTTAAAAAAACACACACACACACTACATTTTCCAATGTCAGCCACTTCCTGCTCTCATTAACTCTATCCTCAGTGACTTAGCCAGACTCCCCTCCTGGCCTGAAGCAGAGAGCAGACTGTCCAAACCAAAGGTCCGTCAGGCCCATCACCAGGTCAGTATCAAGGTCTCTCCCAAGGACGCTGAGATGAAAACAGCAGAAGAGCCAACCTCAAGTCTTGGGCAGACCCTGGAGTGGCTGAGAAAGGAGCTGGTAAGTCTTCACATTTCTTTTTACCTGGTGCTTTCACACCATATATTCCAAGGCTCCCTGGTTCCCCACTCCCAGGTGCCCCCTAGGCTGGGGCAGAGCTTCAGGCTGGGGTATAGGCCCTGCAGGCACCCCTCTGGGACCAGCCACACAGTGCACAATCACCACCTCAGGTGCTGGGATAAGTAGGTCGTGGCCTACATAGGAGGCTCTGGGTGCGGCACTTGCCTGACTGGTTTTAGAATTACAGAGTCCTGGTATGTGCCCAGCTCTGCAGCTGTGTGGCCTCTCGCAAGTGGCTTTACCTCTTTGAACTTCAGTCTCCTTATTGTAAAATGGGGATAACAATAGCACCAGCACCACAAGGGTTATTGTAAGAACTTGGTGAGGAGATGGTGTAATTCACTTAGTGCCTGCGTGGCACATCTGTGTTGGCTGTTACAATCCTGACCCAGCTGGATATGGAGTACATCAGCTGTCTTAGCCTGGGTCTTCTAGAAAGCAGAGGCTTGCAAGGATTGGGGTATTAACCGTTTATTTGGAGGTACAAGCCCAGAGTGGTGAGAGTGAGGGAAATAGGGAGTGGAGGCAAAGGCCAATGCTATTTGAGGAGATGTCTTGTGTTACCAAGCTGGCTGCCACTTAGAAAGGAGCCCTAAGGAGGCCCAGAGTCCCTCTCAGCAGCTGGTTTACGTGGATGTGTGATTCTCTGCAGGGGTTGAAGGAGGATCTGCACCCTGGGGGAGAGAAGCTAAGAGGAAGTTTATCTGCCCAGCTCACTCCTGTCTCCCACTTCCTGTCTGTAAGGCTCCACCCCATGGGGCACTAACTCACCTGAACTTATGAGCTGTGTCACTTGGCCCCTCAGTGGCTGCTCAGGAAGCCAGGCCTTATGCCTCTCCTTGTGATGTTTTCTCCAAGTCCAAAAACAGAAGGGAGCCCCAAAATATGTGGGGACACCAGCCCAGAGGGAGGAGGAGGTGGTTTGGGGAACCACAGAAGGCACCCAAAGTTTGTATTCCAATACGCCAGCTGCTTCTTCTGGGGAGGGACAGAGAGGATTGTCCAAAAATGACCTGTCTGGGTTGCCAGGCAACAGTCTAGCTGGGAACCAACCCTGTCCTCACCTCGGTGGGAGGGGCTGACCCAGTAGGGCTTCTCATGGGCCCAGGGGACTCCAGCAGCAGGAACTGCCGCCTTTTACAGTCCTCAGGGATCTAGAGGCTGGGTGGCAGTCCCACCCTGTGCTCCCCCTAAACACTAGGCACTACGCTGAGACTGCTTAGTACCTGAACCCAAAGTGCCAGTTTCCACTTGATAAAGCACCTCTCTTCTCTCCTACCCATGAGGAGGGAGAACAGGTAGGGGTTGGGGGAAGCCTACCCGGGGCACAGCCTCCCGGGGCCAAATGTCCTCTGCCTCCACATATGACAAGCGATGAGCCTTGAGTCTCCACTTGCTGGTCCCTGACTTACAAATTTCTCAGTCAAGTGTGTTTTTAACCTCCATCACAGGGAATTTACATGACATCACAAGGGCTCCCCTCTGGAGCCCAGCCAAGAAGGCCCGCTTGACCATCAGTGAAATATGTCAGTCACTTTATGCAGCAGAAGGAACAAGTCAGTGACACGAGCAACTACCACTGATGAGCACTGATGAAAGTCTGGTGCTCTCCCTCCTTTCCTGGGATTATATAAGCCCCCAAAGTCCTGGTGGAATCTAAACCCGGGGAGAGAGCCTTGAAAGGCAAGTAATTTGCTTTCTAGTTTGCAAATGAAGAAACTGAGGCTTCGGTGGACATGGCTTCTATGAGGCTGTGGGCTTGTCTCCAATGAGACGTTGATAGGAGCAGGCTTTCTGGGGGAACATCCAGCACTTTGGCTGCCCCCTCACAGACTCCTTCTTTCTCCTAGGCTGAGATGCAGGTCCAAGACCAGAGACTTCTGCTCACGCTGAAGCATCTTCACGGTGTCCTGCAGGAGCTGCGTGCAGAGAGTGCCCACTGGGAGGATGCCAGATCCAGTGGCGGGACCTCCCCCATCAGACCTCGAGCAGGCTCTGAAGGCAGGGGCCACCAGCCCTTTTCCTCCAGGGGCCTGGCCCAGCTCCTCCAAGGGGTAGACAGCAGACGAAGCTCCCTCCCTTAACAGGCCAGAGATGACCCTGACTTTAAACCCTCCCCCCACTAGTCTAAACTTTGATTGTGATGACAGAGAGCACTGGAATGGGAGTCAGGAAGGCCGGTCTCTGGGTTCACCCCTGCCCGCATTCACTGTGTGTCCTTGGACCTGTCACTCAGCTTCTCTGTGTCACTCTTTCCTCTCCTGTCACTTCTCAGGGTTTTTGCACAAATAAAGTATCAGATGTGAACACATTTGGAAAACGCAAACATGTTACATGGCTTCTGGCAAGCACCATGGTGGTAATCCTATTCTTAGGAATTTCCCACAAGGTGATTGTTAAAACAAAGAAAGAGCTCAATGTGCCAGGATGTTTATCTAGTGTTGCCATGGCAAAAATACAGAACCCCGTGCAGTGACTTGATGGTTGTTTTCTGTCTTCCCGGCAGGCCTTCTTATTCCCCTTTATCTGAAAGCAACAGTCCCTACAACCAGCCTGGCCATAGGGATGGGCATGTAACCAGGCCTGGCCAATTACAATTCATGGTCATCCTAACAACATGATTGGCCCAATGAGTGGGCATGTGGCTCAACAGAGCCAATCACAGCCCTTCTCTGGGATTGCCCTCTTGATTCTTATTCTACTGCGGTCGCAAACCTGGGGCTGCCAGTGGCCATGATTCCTGTCAGGTGAGGGAGACCTGCTGGCAGTAGGAAAGAAAGAGGCTAATCTTCAAAGAGAAGCAGAGAGAGGACCACACAAGAGATGGGCAGAGAGGAAGGGTGCTGGTTCTTTTTAGTCCCTGGTTTCAGACCCTAATTCTGTGAGTTACTCCTGCTGTCTTTCCAGAGCAGAAGCCAGTAAATTCTACCACCACCACCCACAAAGGCACACACCAGTTTGTTTTTGCTTAAGCTGATTTGAATAAGGTTTCCCTTATTTGCAACCAAAGCAGTCTGGATGGTCAAAGAAGCAAAGAAGAGAAATCATGAAAAAAATGGCATTTCTGACAACCGAGTTTGGCAGGCAGGCAACAAGGTGTATGTTGTGGCAGAACCCTCAATTCTTTGGGGTGCAGGAGTCATAACTTTGAAAAATTATATCTGCCTATAAGAAAGATATAAATGGAACAGGTGAAAATAAAGTCCTGGTGTTAACATGGTCCGATTATCGTCAGGCCTTTTTATTTTTGAAAATCTTCTTGCATGTTGCTAGGATATTGCTTTTAATGGCCTTGAAAAACTAAATCCATTGCATACAGAGGCAAAGGGTGGGAGGGTTGCATTATGTGTACTATGGTTATGGTCAGACTAATCTGGGGTTTCTATATAATATTTGATAATACAAAAAAATAGTTCTCCATCAATGGCTGAATGGATAAACAAAATGTGATATATACATAAAATGGAATATCATTCAGCCTTGAAAAGGAAGTTAATCCTGGCACATGCCACAAGATGGATGGACTTTGAAGACATTGTGCTAAGTGGAGTAAGCCAGTCACAAAAGGACAAATATGATATGATTCCACTCATACGAGATACTTAGAGGAGTCAAATTCATGGAGACAGAAAGTAGTTCTGGTTGTCAGAAGTTTGGGGGCAGGGAGTAGGGGGTTGGGGGGTCATTTAAGGGGTGCAGAGTTTCAGTGTTGCAAGATGGCAAAAGTTCTGTGGATGGATGGTGGTGATGGTAGTATAACAACCTGAACGTACTTGATGCACTATACACTTTAAAATGGTTAAAATGGTAATATTTATCATATGTTATATTTTACCACAATTAAAAACAAATACTTTAAATTTTTTAATTACCTGCTCTGTGATGCTGGGGCTGGAGCCCCACAAACCCCATTTCTGCATTACTCGCGGCTCCGGGTTAGACTTTGCCAATAAGCAGGGTGGGGCTAGAGGGACACCACAGGGCTGGAGGAGGGAGAAAAGACTTGCTTCTTCATCTTTGTTCTTTGTGGCTTCCTGTGGCCTTCCTGCTCTCATGAGCATCACCCAGCAATGCTCCTTCACCTCAAAGCAGCAATTCCTCCCTGTGGCACCAGCCAGAACCCCCTTCTCAAGGCTGTAGGTGCCATCCCTGGGGGGCCCTTCCCCCAACCTCAGAGACACCAGCTCCAGATGGCCAGCATCCCCTCCCCTGAAGTCTCAGTCCCTGTCCTCCCTGGCTCCTCTCTGCTCTCTGAGACTTGAGCCCAGCTGAGCAGAGCCCCCTTCTCAGATACTTGAAGTGGAGCTCTGCAAGGCTGAAAGCTTTAATAATTTCAGTCTCCTCTCTTTGCTCCCTCAGCCCTGGGAGTGGTAGATGCTTCCTGCAAGTGCTACCTTCATTCTAAGAGTTCTTTTTATAACCTTTCGGTCAACCAATTAAAAACTTTTTACCTAGTTAGCAATTCTTTATATTAAATTCTCTCTGTTAAAATAATTCAGTTTTTGGCTGTAATTACCAATGCTGCTGTGATCACTTTTGTTCATGTGCCCCGGTGCACAAGCCCAGTGCCCCTAGGATATACAGGTTTTCTCCCACTATCTGAAAGTAGATCATTCCTATGGAACATTTCACAAGCCAAAATTGTGCATAGTGAAGAAGCAATTACCTTAGGACACATCTTGCTAACAGAGGCCCAAAATAAGTTGAGATAAAGCACAGATGCTCGTAGACACAGGTCAAAGCCAGGTCAAAGCTATGGGGGCTTGGTGCAGAAATGCTGAGTGCCGTTCCTGGGAAAGTAGCTTGGCGGTGCCCCCCCCACCCCCCACCCCCCCAGGGTGCTTGCTGCCTCTGTAACGGCTCACCCCAGATCAAACACTGAACACCATTTTCACTTTTCACCTGTTTTTGTAAAAGTGAAAATCATTTTGGCTTTCTTTCACTTCATGAAAACAGGTACTAATGTAGCTCTTTCATGAAAGCAAAGTGGCATAAAGTGAGCTTTCGAAAAACAACGGATACCTGTAGAGCAAAGAGTTCAACTGCAAGTATGTGTGTGAATACTCAAGTTTACAAGAAGCGTGTTTTCCACAGTGGGGTATTCACTTAAACTCCCACAAGCTGTGTCCAAGAGTTCCTGTTGCTCAACATTCTCACCAACGCTTGGTATTATCAGTCTTCTTAATTTTTGCCAATATAATGAGTGCAAAATCGTGTTACACTGTGATCTTAACTTGCATATTCCTACAAATGTGGTGGTTAACCTGAGTTCTAATTCCACCTCCACCATTTACTTACTTTTTGATCTTAGATGAATTACTCAACCTCTCTGAGCCTCATCTGTAAAAGAAGGGATAATAATATCTACCTCATAGGATTATTATTTATATTGTATGGGAGAATGCATATAACTCACTTTACACAGCACTGAGCATTGTAAAGGCTAATAAATGACAGCTTGTTATTATTGCTGTGTAATCACAAATATGACGATTTCTGAAACTATGACTATTACAAGTAGACAAGCTTGCTAGCAACCATCATTAAGAGAGATATCTGCCTGGCCATGCAAAGTAACAATGACATTGGTTTTCCATGCCCAAAGCCAACAACCAGCACCCTCTGCCTCGCCCAGCTTCCCACAGCTGGGCCCCCAGACCAAAAACATCTGCCAATCCCCCCTCTACCAATCTGCAAAGATAAACCTGACCCTCTGCTTGGGTATGTGCTGTTCTCCAGACCCCACCTCTGGAACCAATGTTCAGTTCCTGATCCCAGGTCAGAACAAGCTCAGACTGAGCCCAGATGCTGGGGGACAAGGGGGTTGGAGTGGCAATGACATCCTCAGGGTGGGTTCCTAGAGGGCTGGGTTATAGATCATGTTCATCCACGAGAGCAAGTGAGCACTAGAGGGAGCCTGTGGATCATGGTCACAAAGGAAAATCTGGGGTTTTCTCTGCTGAGGCAGCAAAAACAGGACTGTACACCCAAGCCTCCCATCCAAGGGTGAGGAGAGAAGGGGACACAGGTGGGGAAAGGACTGACGGGGGTCAGAAGCTAAAAAATTAGGAGCAGAAGAAGAACAGTTCAAGATGTGATACCTATTGTCAAGGCCGGCAGTTCAGGACTCACCCTGTGACTACCCAGAAAGGATCAGAGGCTTGCTTTTACCTGGGGCCAGCGTCCAGCCCTGGGCCAGGCTTGATGTCTTACAGTGCCCAAGTGTTCTGGCTGGTGTGTAACAAAATGCTCCCAAACTTAAAACAACAACAGTCACTTTATTATTGCAACAACCATTCATCATTGCAGTAAAATCACACTTCCCACGGTTCTGGGGATTGACTGGGTTCAGCTGGGTGGTTCTTGCTTTTGGTCTCTCAAGTGGCTGCAGTCAGATGGTGTCCAGCTTGATTCATCTCAAAGGCTTATTCACATGTCTGGCAGTGGACGCTGGCTGTTACCTGGGACCTTAGCTGATGCTGTCACCTGAAACACCTACCCATGACTCCTCCCTGTGGCCTGGGCAACCTCATGGCAGAGTGGCTGGTGCCAAGACCAAGCATCTGAAGAGAGCCAAGAGGAAGCTGTATAGCCTTTATGACTCAGTCTTGGAGGTCACACAGTGTCACATCCATTGCATCTTATGCAGCAGAAGCCAGGCACCAAGGCCAGCTCACATTCAAGGGGAAGAGAATTAGACCACCTCTTGATGGGAGGAGCATCAAAGAACTTGCAGACATGTTTTAAAGCCACCACACCATGTAAGACTGGATGGGTTTCCAGTGTGGCACATCAGCTGCAAGGAATAGGCACTGACACTTTGTAAGCTCAGGCAGAGTGATAAGACAGAATCTCATCAAAATCCACGAGCAGGAACTCCAGGAGGTGAAGGGTAGGTCTGGATCTCCAAGAGTTCACTCCACCACTCCAGCATTACTGTGTTTCAGTGTGCTACTGAGAGGTGGGCTCAGCTCTGCTGCTGTGACAAACGAACTCTGAGATCTCAAGGCCTCAACACGACCAAGGTCCATTCCTGGCTCACACTACATGTCCTATGGCCCGATTATGGGGGGTGGGGGTCCTG